CAGCTTGCTGTCTGACTCCTTTGCACTCAGTTTTTTATTCCTCCACAAGGTCAACACATAACCTATGCCCCTCGTGACATTTCCTGCTTATTCTTTTGTGCTGGGTGGTAATTGTCCTGTCCCCATGATTGGCTGCCCTCAGCAGCAGATGATTCCCTTCATCTCTTCACAGGTGCAAGTATAGGGACAAAGGAAGACTCACCCTGCCTGCTATCACTTTGGCTTTCCCCTGCATGCAGGCTTCTCCCTTGACATGGAGCAGTGACTTCCTTCCTTCTGTGACCCCAGTGACTCGGTGTATTTGGTACAGCTGGGAGAGGAGAGGAGACATGGCACAGGGCTAGAGCTGGACACCCGCTCTGTTGGGGAAACCTGTTCTCAGAAGGTCCCTAGAAGGTCCCCTCCTGTCTCACATTTCATGAGGCACTGCCTGACAAGCTGGGGAAGGGCATGCTTGGGGGATGGGGGACTGGTCCCCGTGGTATAGGCAAGGATAAGAGGTCAGGCCCCTGGATTCAGTTCTAGCCCAGCTACTTACTTGCTGTGGAGATTGGGTCAGATACTGCCTTACTCTTCACATCTATAAAGTTAGATGTCTGGCCTCAGCTTCCTCTCGGGCTTGTCAGAGTACTGATTCATTTGTGCTTACAATGCACAGTGAATCTTGCAGATGGAGAAGGCAAAAAGAGGTAGGAAGGCAGTAAATCAGGAGCGTCCAGAAACATTCTCCTAGACGCATCCTGCAAACTAGCATCAAATGGCTCACATCCATATTATTAAACTCTCTTCACCTCTGAAACAGCGTGACCTCATGCAAAAGTCTACTGGGAATGGTCCTCTGCCTATGGTAACTCCCTAATCATGCCTGGAAATTGTCTGGGACGGTCCTAGTGGGACCGAGCCAAACCATGCCGGGGGTGTGCTGACACTTAATTCTGATGATTGAGTTTGTATTCTGGGAACGTTTCCTGATGTTGTTTAATTTACTAGTAAAGACTTAATTACTTGTGAAGACTTAATGTCTGTTCTATTAAATTACCCTCAAAGTCAGCACTACCCTGATAAAAATCAGCAAGTGTCCTTAAACCTTCTTGAAAACGTTGATTCCTCAGCCCTCAGTCATTACCTTTCCATCTCCTCCATGAATGTGGAACAGATTATTAAATAATCAATTTTTTATCACTTAAAAATAATCAGGTGATAAGAAAAAGCCAGCAGAGAGAAAGCCAAGAACAAATCATGTCAAACTGGTTAACGTTCTTTGCCACAGTAACTGGGATAGTGGAGAGAGCTGGTACAGCAATGCAGGCTATCTTGATGTGTAGTAAGGATATTTGAAGCAATCCTGTATGATATTGTCAAGGGTATGTGCTCAGAAACTAGTTATCAGTAGTTTGCAGTCAGACAAGGAAGACTTACAGAGATCAGTCCCAGGGGTGCCTGGCCAGATGTATCAACTAGTTTCCTCAATGACCTAGATGATTAAACAAATTATGTTTATGAAATACGTGACTGGCTCCAAGACTGGAAGAGCTTACAAGACTGAAGGCAGGATAGGAAAAAAAAAGATCTTGATAAGTTGGAGAAACGGCTCACAATCAGCCAGCTAAAATTCCATAAAACTGGTGCAAAATACTGCGCTGAGAAGGAGAAAAAATTAAATGCACCAGTAAAGAAATGGGGAACAGCTGGCTAGACCACAGCACGGAGGAAGTGGATCGAAGAGTTACATGGCCATGAACCGAATATGAATCTCCATTGTGAAGCTATTACATAAAAAGGCAAATTTAATTCTTAGCTGTATTACTAGAGGCTCAGTAAGACAGGCTTAGTCTAAGTTTGGACTGAAGGAAGGTAACAAACAGTGTAAGAGGTGCAAAACATATAGGGTTGAAAGAAGAGGATTGAGTCTAGCAGGGAGAAAACAGAAGAGGAAATGTGATAATGGACTTCAAATATATAAGGTTGCTATAAGAAAGATGCTGATCAATTGTTCCCCACGTCTCCTGAGAATAGGTCAAGATGCAACAAGCTCAATTAGGTTATAAAGAGGAGGGAAACCTTCCTAGCTATCAGTCAACGAGCAGTGTAACAGGTACCAAGGAGGTGGTAGCATCCCTGGTGTGTGTTAAGGGCAGGTTAGGCAAACACCTGCTTGGGTGTTGTCAGCGTATCTGATCCTGCCTCTGGGCATGTAGACAGAGTAGCTTCTGAATATTCTTTCCAGACTGACACTTGTGTAATTTTTAGTTTCTAACATCACTTCATCACTCATTTTGGCTGAAGGGATGTGACCCCCAACGCAGCAGGGACAGCCTAATCAAAGACCCTAAGCAGGTCTCACCAGGGCCTTATCCAGTCTCATTACTGGATATGTTATTTGGTGTTCATCTGTACGTCATCACATCCTGCACCTTCCTCTTACAGGCTTTGTGTTAGACCATCCCATTCAAGAGACTACTAAAACCAATTTCATTCTTTTCCTCTCACCCCTCTTGTGGGAGGTTTGTTCCATAATCTGATTGCTCTCACAGCTAGAAACTTCTGATTTCCAGCCTAAATACACTTGTGGCCAGTCAGCAGCCACTTGATATGGAGTAGTTCAAATTCATGCTCATGTCTGTGAGCTCTGTCTATTCTAAAATACAGAAGCTGATGTCATTGTATGTGAAAAACTTCCAGATCTGTTCTTCAGGTTTCAAGAAGGAAAATATTATACATTTGCTGAAGAAAAGGAATAGTTTTTCTTTCTTGCGTCAGCGCATAGATGACCTGAATGACATTACAAAGGAAACGAAGATGTAACACAGGAAAGGCTGAAGAGAGGGTGCCAGCTGAGGGCAGAACCAGGAAAGCCAAGACCAGGTGACAGGCATAATGAGGTTATCAGCTTAATGTATTCAGGAGGGCCAGGAGGAGTAATACGTGAACTGAAAACTGCTGTTTGCAATGGTGGGAACAGTGGATTGTTGTGAAGGAGGAACCAGTTCCCCTTTTCTGTCTTTCCAAAAGATGTGACAGCTAAGGTGACGCTCGTCTGCCCGCAAATAGTGTATGTCTCTGTGGAGAAGTGCATATGTAAGAATTGACAGTCCTCCCCTGAATCAATACTTACCTTTGTAAAGGAGAAAATGCTTTTTGCTGAACTGATGGCTATTTCATCCCATTGCAAACCATAACAGATGGGTTTTCTTCAAACCTCTATGCATTTTAAGATTGTATTTACACTCATGAAGCAAGTCTTCTGTCTAAGAGGGGAAAAAATAACATTCTCACACTTCTTCGTTTTGTCCCTCCCCCTGGTGCTGTGCTTTCCTAGGGCTGCTGGTTGGGTCCTGCTCAGCTTCTTTACTGCCTTCTGACTGAGCTGCTTCTGCTTGGAAAACAGTTATCTGTGTCTCACCTTGGAGATGGGAGTTCTGGCTCCTTTGGGCTCAGCAGAGTAGGCACCGTAACATAGAGTCAAGTACCAGATTGAGAAGCAGAGAAAAGTACAGCTTCTCCAGAGAGAAAATGAGACTGATGCTGTTACCAACACATACCACCTCCCGTAGTAAAAATGTAGTGGATTTTTTGAAAGAAAAGTGAAACACACAAATTAGGTATTAGTATTATCACTCCTTCTGTGACAGGCAGCTGCACTCTTGCCATCTTAGCAAAATTTCAGTCAGCAGAGGGTATTTAGCAAAAATGAAAATTCAGTCTGTGTTTCTAACAAACGTTGCTGCTGCCCAACCTTCCATATTCTGGGCAGCAAATAGCTTGTCTGTTCTCTGTCATGTAGCTGTCATGTCCTACCCTAAAGACAGATGCAATTCAGTGGTGTTTCTTGCTGACTTGGTTTTGGTGGTGGTTTGTTGGTTTTTTTAATACAAGATAGCGTGTTTCACAAAAAGCTTTCTTGGGTCAGGACAAAAGCTGCCATGCATATGTAACGTTCTGATTAGCATCTTCCAATGAACTGGCTAGCAATGCACAAAGTACTATCTCTTGGTAGATCAAATAGCTGGCTTTTCCTGCAGCTGCTTTAGCATAAAGATAGTGTTTGGGAAGGAAGCCCCGAGGACAACCTGCAGTTCTCTCAGCGATTATAACTCCCAGCAAAACAGTGGTCCTGTTGGTGCCTTGCTTTTCTGAGACATCACCTTCTTCCTAGGTGAGCCCCGACCTCCAGCAATATAAGACCTGGGCTGGAGCAGCCTGAGCAGAGCAGAAGCTCGAAGCAGGACGGAGCTGGCTCTCCTTGGGGGAAAACCAACTCGTCAGCCCACATCTGCTTTCTAACAGGCCCAGGACATGGCTGGCCAGTCAGCACACTGGAAACCCCCACCAATAGCTCCCCGCGATGGAGCAGGGGTCTGTGAGGGGTTGAGAGGCAGGTCCAAGGGGTCCCACCACAGCTTTCTGGTCTGCTGGTCCTTCCCCAGCCATCCCTCATTTGCCGCCGACTGGAGCAGGCAGAGCTGACTGTGGGTAGCACCCGCACAGAGCAGCAGGCGCCGCTCAGACTGTGGCAGGCCACCCTGCCGTACGTCCTCGGCTATCTTCAAACCGCGCCAAA